AAGTAGTCATCACATACAGAGCTGCATGGGAATAAATAGTTCCCCGAATAGTGTCCTTGACATACAAGAGAGGGTACACAGTCACAAGATGGAGGAATACTGGTTCAAAGCAGTATTCAATGTTTAGTTCAGATTAGCTAAGGTCTGCGTAAGCAATAAACATGACAGTCATATGTCTATCTCCATAGAGGCTGAATCATCATGTTAATCGTTGTAACATACAGTAGCTATCATATGCCTAAAACAGTCCTGACGCTCTTCTAGGTAATGTAAGGATTTCTTTAGCCCTGAGAGCAGGATAAACTGAAAAGAGTCAAGGGAAGCTTATAAAAGTTAACAGCATTTAATTAAACAAATGATGCGGTGATATGCAATGAAATGTGCGAGTGGAGGCTCCCCCCTTCCAGCTGTTGGTCCTGTCCGCGTTGGGTCAGCTGGGGTGTGGGAAGAGGTCGATTCTTCCTGTCCATCACAGGTTATCAACTGTAGTCTTCTCCTATTGGCCGGTGTCGACGGGGGCGTGTCCAATGCAAATCCTGCCGTTTTCTGCTGCTAAATTACATCATTCTAATGTCTGTGGTTATGTAAAGTGGACCTATCATGCTATATTATAATAATATAGTGTAGGACCATACCTATATAAGGCATATTTATACTTTTTTTTTTTCAAAATACCAAACAGATCATGCATTTTAGCCATGTCTCATTTTGCTCAATTTGACATTTTTTAGCTCTGGATTTGCAAAGGCAGATTCAGTGAGAACAGCACCATCTACTGGCCTGGCATATGTACTACAGCGTCTCCAGCGCTTTCGAACGGCAATGGCCGTGGCTGTCTCCTCCTGATTGGTGGAGTTGGCCCAATAGCCGTAGCGCCACCGTCCTGACGTCAGGACAGTGTTCAAATCTGGATCAGTTTTTATCAGATCCGTTGCAGCCCCTTTTTTAGAGATTTGGGTATGGAGGAAAATAGAGAGGGTTGTGTTTTCTGACACTTGGTGAGTTCCCTGGAACACCGGGGACACATAAAGACGTACAAAAGTGAATTTTGCATGATAGGTCCCCTTTAAACATTCCCTAATAAGGCAAGGCAAGGCAAGGCAAGTTTATTCATATAGCACTTTTCTGTACGCGACAATTCAAAGTGCTTTACAAAACAAATTAAAATACTTTTTATGAATAAATACTTGCAGTAAAAACACATTATATAATGGCATTACAAAGCAAAGATAATAAAATAATAAAAATAAACACCACAGGTATACAATACATGTTTAAAAGGCATACTGTAGTTCGAATATGAGCAGCTCAATTAAAAGCAGCGGCAAAGAGATATGTTTTTAGTCTTGATTTAAAAATGGTAAGCGTTTCTGCGGACGTGCATGATTTGGGTAGTTTGTTCCAGAGTGTCGGGGCATAATAGCTAAATGCTGCCTCTCCATGTTTTGTTGTTACTCTCGGAACCGATAGCAGACCCGTCCCAGAAGACCTGAGGCACCTTGATGGCTCGTAATTGTGTAGGAGTTCAACAATATACTTTGGTCCTAAACCATGTAATGATTTAAAAACTAGCAATAGTACTTTAAAATCAATTATTTGGCCGACTGGAAGCCAATGTAAAGATTTCAGAACCGGACTGATGTGATCCACTCTTTTAGTGTTAGTGAGGACACGTGCAGCAGCGTTCTGAATCAGCTGCAGCTTTCTGATGGATTTTTTAGTGAGCCCTGTGAATACACTATTGCAGTAGTCGAGTCTACTGAAAATAAAAGCATGGACAAGCTTTTCTAAATCCTGTTGTGACATTAGTTTTTTAATCCTCGATATATTCTTCAGGTGATAGTATGCAGACCTAATAACTGTTGTAATGTGGCTGTTGAAATTCAGGTCTGAGTCCATCACTCCACCTAGATTGCTGGCTTTATTAGTGGTTTTGTAGTCTGACGACTGAAGCTCTGCGATTACTTTTAATCGGTCCTTCTTTGCTCCAAAAACAATGATCTCAGTTTTTTGTTTGTTCAGTTGGAGAAAGTTCTGAGTCATCCAGTCAGTGATGTGCTCAATGCACTTGCTCAGTGTTCTAATCGGAGAATAGTCTCCTGGTGTGATTTTAAAATAAATCTGGGTGTCGCCTGCATAGATGTGATAGCTTAGATCGCTGTTTTTAATAATTTCAGCCAGGGGTAGCATATAGATATTAAAAAGCAAAGGTCCTAAGATGGAGCCTTGAGGAACCCTGCATGACATATTTGTCAAAGTTGATGTGTAGTTGCCTATTGAGACAACGTTTTTTCTGTCCTTTAAGTAGGTACTAAACCAATTTAGAGCTGTTCCTGAAACTCCCACCCAGTTTTCTAGACAGTCTAGCAATATGTTGTGGTCAACAGTGTCAAATGCAGCGCTGAGATCTAATAATACTAAAACTGATATTCTGCCACTGTCTATGTTTAAATGAATGTCATTTAAGACCTTTACAAGTGCAGTTTCAGTGCTGTGGTTAGGTCGAAAGCCCAACTGAAACACATCAAAACCGTCATTTAAAAACATGAAATGACTCAACTGTTGAAAAACAACTTTTTCAATCCATTTGCTTAAAAAAAGAAGGTTTGTTATTGGCCTGTAATTATTAATTACGGTTGTGTCCAAGTTAATAAAAGTTTTTGCAGCGTCAATAAGTGAGAGTTAAAGACAGTGTGTATAGTGTACAACACCACATGTCATTTCACCTTCAATTCACGGTTTCAAAACTTAGCACTCGCTACATGCTAATGCTAACGGGAAATGGCGAGATTTACTCAACGGAAAACCGGAAGTCATGTGTGAACATTCGGTTTTTAGAATAAAACAGATTTCAATTAAATACAGTGTATTTAATACCTTTAGTTACTTTACAGATGTGGGCCTTTGTTATCATGTGCTACTCTGATATTAGAAGAGTACATTCAGTATTTTCCCAACACACATTCACCATTTCTAAGTAGCCCCTTAATCACAATTCTCCATCCCAGACTCGCAGCTGCACTGTTTTCCATTTGTCAGAGAAGAATGAGCCCAGGTGGGTGCAGATGATAACCAACGAGTGATGAATCTGGAGGACCCTACTATGTGTCATTTATTCAAATAGGAGTACAAAAGGAGTCCATGAAAACATCACGGCTAGTCAAGGAATGTGTAGAGATCTTACTGAAGATAAAGCTGCCTTCATATGACCTGAGTTAAAAACGGGTCGCCGTTTTCCTATGGAGAGAGAGCCTGATTAGGAAGAAGTGCTACCCTCGCCATTGAGCACTGCTTGAAATTGTCGCCTGTTGCTGCGCTTGAAGTTCAAACTTTCAAATTCAAAAGAACTCAACTTGATTTCCATTGACTTTTCGCAAACTAGGGAGGTAACAATAGAAACTGAACAAACTAGTTGTTTTAAACGCAAAGCTCTGCACACTACCTCGCGGTGAGCAAAGACCAATCGCATTTCATGAGTAGGCAGCTTAAAGCAAACCGAAAGGATATTTTAATTAATACACGAATGTTGTGGAAATGTTGATTCGTCCAGAAACTATGGAGCCACCTTTTTTGTCCTTTGAGCTCTCACTTTCTTTGTCTTCAGTCCCAGTTCCCACAAACCCCCCTCAGGACAAGCTAAGCACCAAGGCCCTGAACCCACTGCAATCTTAACATTGGCTTTATCGTTCTAGCAATAAAGGGTCCATGAAATTGATTTAATGCCACACAGGCTTTTCCTGGGTGGCAAGAGTCTCAAAGAGTGCAAAGCAAGGCACCGGCTCCCACTATTCATTAACATCTACTAATCCCACTTTGTTCAAGTAAGTCTGAAAGTTCAGCTGGCAGGCCAAGCTTCCCACTGCTGAGGAAAAGGGGAAATGTGGAGCAGAAAATGTATAACAGATACATTTTAAATTCAATATTCCTCAGTTTATCATAAACCGTAGTTTCTATCTTTCTGAGTAGAATTACTGTTATTTGTATATTGACATCGTTACATTAACGTACAATTAAATACATTTAAGTATGCAATTGAAAGGTAGATTGAATATACCAAATCACATATAGGTTGCTCCAGTAAAAAAAAGAAAAAGATGGCAGCTACTGAGACCTGCTAAGCTAGCACCTTACAGCAGGAGTTTAGTAAGGTTTTTTTCTTCTTCTTTTTCTTCATCATCATCATCATGATTTAGTTGCTTCCTTATTTGATGATTGGAGCGGCTATCTCACACGCTAGTTTACACTTTATATAATGCTGAATTATTAAATACAGCTCTGGAAAAAATAATAGACCACTGCAGCATTATCAGTTTATGTTGTTTTACTATTTATAGGTACTATGTGTTTGAATAAAATGATTTTTTTATTCATATAAACTACTGACAACATTTCTCTGTGTTGGAATTCAACAGACACTGGAATGTAATGGCTGCCATACATGTAGAGGGTTAGGGTTAGTAATTTAGAAAGATTCGGAGTCGTCTCTTCATTTTTTACAGAGCTGTATGTAGTTGCCTTGCTAGAGTGTCTGGTAAGTGAAGTCCTACAGCACCCAGTTGACAATACATTACATTTCCCACAAATTACCAAGTCAGATAGTAGTGACTGCAGGCTCGGCAGCGTTATGCTGAGAGAATGTAGCAGCGGCAAAAAGTATTGTGTTTTTTTTCTATAGTAAAACAGATGTCAGAAAGTCACATACTCACCTTTCTTTACCTTCTGCAAAAAAACAGCATTCAATAGCCGAAGCTTCGGCCACTGTATCCACATGGGGAGAGTCCTATCGCATTGTTTCTTTAAAAAAAAAATTGAAAGCAGAACAATATATGGACAATCATCACCCCCTGGTTTTTAATTATGTTCACAAGTGACTTTAAACATTTACCAAGGAGCCATTAAAGGTCAATCTGTTAAACCACATTCTTTAATATGCACATGAGGAAACAGTGATTAAACAAATGAATCAATTAAGAGTGCCCTCTTTTGTGTTTTCCTCCCAGGCTTCCCAGCAGCAGCGTACGGTCCGGTGGCAGCGGCAGCAGTAGCGGCGGCGCGTGGCTCAGGTAGGGGGGCCCCTGGAAGAGTCGGCGGCTACATGGCATACGGGCAGAACACAGGGGCAGGTAAAGGCTCTGTCGGTATTCTGTGTGGCCTGACGCTCTCTCCATGCAGTTTCTCACCTCTCATGCACACACAGACACTTACCTTAACATACAAACAGCTGCTGTATATAGAGAGGGTGGATTGAAGACCCAATTCCAAACGGACCCCTACACCCTCCCACTCTGTGAAAGAGTGAACTCCGTCTATAGTCTCGTTATCAGCTGAATGAAGCTCCTTCTTTAATGTGGTGGGTGTAAATACAGCGGCAAGCGACCCCCCACAGGAACTGTTGTGACCTTTCATAACTATGGTTTCTAATCAGCATCTTAATGACATTTCAAAAATATTTACTGCCATATCGTCTTGTTTTTAAATCTATTGTTTATGAGCTGCTTGATTTTTAGCAATTTTTTGTATAAATCTACAAAACCTTACAGTCAAATGCAGACGTCTGTATGGGATGATCCTTGGTAAAAAATATTAATAAATGTAACTTTCAATTTGTTAAACGTCTTATTTTGCAATTACAAGTAAATATTTCAGTGTGTTCAATGACACTTAAAGCTTTGCAGGTGGTCAGGTAGTATCGCTAGTTAAGTCTGGCCTGATGCAGACTCCCTGTTGGAGGGTTTAATAACGCCCCCTCCCCCCCTAGCTGGTGTGGAACGGCACTTAATGTAAAACATATTCTCTCTCTTTTTGTCCTGATCCAACTATATAAAAACCTGTCTGAAAATTGTCCGATTTTGGCCACTTTGTGATATCACAATGTTTTTTTTCGGTGGTGCAACCATTAGCCAATAACCAACCAAGGTAACCACCTTATCACCTGAATCTCCTCCTAGAGCACCATTGTGTTTTCTTAAACCAATCATCTCTCAGAGGGGCGTGGCCAGCAGCAGCTCGGCGGTGGTGGTGAAGTCCATAGGGACTTGGCTTGGGAGCCGGAAGGTCACCGGTTCAAGTCCCCGAAAGACCAAGTGCTACCGAGGTGCCCCTGAGCAAGGCACCGTTCCCTACACTGCTCCATGGGCGCCGTACATAATGGCAGCCCACTGCTCCTAACACTAGGATGGGTCAAATGCAGAATGTACATTTCCCCTCTGTGGGACGATTAAGGGTATATAACAAAAAATATATAAATTCAATTAGCATTTAAAGTAACAGACACAGAACCAGCACTTTTGAAACAGGGCTGAAACAGATGGGATTATGGGATGCTACAAAGCATGATCTGTTTGGTGTTTCAGCCAAACACTTCAGAGACATGTTTTGTATATATCTGAGACCAATAATATATTGTTGAAAAAGAGTATAGTAGAGTCACTTAAATACTTTAAAATACTGTGTTGATTAGTATATATCATGTGTTCATACGTAAATAATAACTATTAGTGTAAAGTATGTGTAAATAGTACTTAAGTACAATACCTGAGTAAATGTAGTTTGTTACATTCCACCACTGCTAAACACACGTTAGGAATACCAAATGCCCCCCCACCCCCTCCTCCAGGCCCCTTTTTGCTAAAATATATTTGAGCATTGAAAAAGTAGGTCAAACAACCTCTCCTCACTAAATAATACTTCCAATACCTCAGGACTCTGCTGCTGTCCGACTGTTTGTTGAGTGCAAATATTGTGTATGTGTTGTGTGTATAATGTGTATTAGTGTGTGTTATGTGGTGTTTGCTTAAAAGTGTGCATATACAGTATTCTGACACTTGCATATGATATGAACACATTCTTATTTTTAAAAAATGTGTCGAAATGCCATGAAAGTCTGAATATATAAATGTTTAGGACAATAACAAATTAATATTGTAAAGCGCATAATCTGTTAGACATCTTCAAGATGTTTTTATCAGGGTTCTAAATGAGCTGCCATCCATTCTAGATTATTAATGAGCTTCCGTATTGGGCTGAAAAGGAGTGCTCTTTATGTTAATTACTCTGTGAATCATCTTGAAGAAGACCATTTACTGAGAGAAAAGCCACCACAGGGCAGAAATAGAAAAAGGCCACATCCTTTTTAAAACTATCACAGGAAATGAAGCCTGTAATGAAAGATTACATGAAATTCCAGTGGTAATTCAGAAGATGTTTAATAGATAAAGAAAGATAGGAGGAATTTAACAGTCACCAAACCCCTGTGAGTGAGCCTGCATTGAAGCACATTTTTGTACCGGCCAAACGGCGGTACTGCAACTCTCATGGCTGCCATGTGATGTCATTTGTCCTAGAAATGTATTTGTTACTAACATATGCTGTAAATCAGCATATACATTTGTTTAAAGGTAATTCAACTACCCAGTACGAACATTTAATTATATCATTAGGTCCTAAAAGTTGTTAAAGGTTGGAACCAGACTTTCTTCCCCTCTTCATTCATTTGACTGAGCCAAGAATGGCAGCGGAGTGGATGTGGGGTAGGGCTTGAGTAAACCATTAAGCATATGCTGTATGGGACCAGAGCCCCGGATGATCTGGATATTTTTGTACTTAAGAGTCAGAACATTTTGGCTTCTTGCACCACTGAGTAACTTTCATATGAACGGGGCTCCAACCCAGTGTCCGGTTCTCTGTATACACTAGCCACACACATTGTGTTAATGTGCTTATGTGTACATCTAGACCAGATGGTTGGATACTGCACGTTCAGTGTACGCAAGAAAGGACATATAGGACACACACACACACACACACACACACACACACACACACACACACACACACACACACACACACACATACACACACACACACTCATAGACATGGTGAATTAAAGGGGACCTATCATGCAAAATGCACTTTTGTACGTCTTTTATACATGAATATGTGTCCCCGGTGTTCCAGGGAACTCACCAAGTGTCAGAAAACACAACCCTCTCTCTTTTCCTCCATACCCAAATCTCTAAAAAAGGGGCTGCAACGGATCTGATAAAAACTGATCCAGATTTGAACACTGTCCTGACGTCAGGACGGTGGCACTACGGCTATTGGGCCAACTCCACCAATCAGGAGGAGACAGCCACGGCCATTGCCGTTCAAAAGCGCTGGAGACGCTGTAGTACATATGCCAGGCCTGTAGATGGTGCTGTTCTCACATAATCAGCCCTTGCAAAAACAGAGCTAGAAATTGTCAAATTGAGCAAAATGAGGCATGGCTAAAATGCATGATCTGTTTGGTATTTTGAAAAAAAAAAAGTATAAATATGCCTTATATAGGTATGGTCCTACACTATATTTTTCAAATATAGCATGATAGGTCCACTTTAAGTAATAAAATGAACTGTTATTTCCAAGGTGAGTACTGAACTAACCCCAGCCTCCCCACAACCTCAACCATCAACAAAAAGTGACAGTACTTTTTAGCTGACAAGACAGATGTTAAAAATGTATTCCTCCATTGCACACATTAATGAGGCAGATTAGGTGGGAGTGGGGATTCATGTCATCACATCACTGGCTCTTGGATTGCTATTCTATTTAAATGATTGCTATATGTAACCAAAACTTTGAACAAAATGGAGAAAGAACATACAATATCCAGAAAATTCAAGCATTTACAAAAAATCAATCAAACTGTATTCCACAAAATACAACAGCTGTGAGGGAAAACACTTGATGACATGGAGGAACACAAATGTAAAATTGCATTCCTTTTTTTAAATGAATGTGTTAAAATGTAGAGAGTGGGATCCCTAAAATACTATTAGTTTGAAAGTTCCTTTCAGAACATCAAGGATTAACAACCCGACAGTCGAACCATTTGTTAGGAAATGTTCCCTTTTTCCATGCTTAACTCGCTGTTATTGTCTTGGCAAAGTGAAGTTCTAACTGGTCTTACAAATCAGTTGGCTAAAGACGATACTTACCTCAACAAGGTATCATTGAGAGATGGTGCTCCTCAGACATGCTCTCAAAAAACCTAAAAGAAATACACTTACACTATTTGATTCACATACTGTAATACAAGTTGCTAAATGTTGCTCACATGAAACATTACATATTAACACAATAATCATTGTAATGTTCTGTTGAGACGTGTTGCTGAAGAATATTCATATTTAACAGAATTGCTGTATTACAATAATCATTTAGTATTGCAGGTATTGCACTTTTACCTTTACGGCTTGAATTGTCCATCTTTCATCGGCCTGTTCTAAAGTAAATGATCAACATGAAAGCATGACATTTACATGGTACGATAATAAAGAGGTCTTTTATCTCTTTGATGTGGCAGGTGCTAGTTGGTATTTATCTGAAAAAAGCCTTTTTGGCAGGTATTTATTGTGTGTTTTAACTGGGCAGTGGTTTGTTTCTCATGATCGGTTTTAATAATTGACATTCCCTTTGTTTTTATTCAAAGCAACATCTAAACATTCTAGTCTGCATCTGATGGTGCTTGTTTTGCTTTCTTTCTTTTTTTTAATTAGCAACCATTAATTAAGAGAGCAGACCCGGGACCTCAGGACAGGTCTCCATTTGTTGATGTTGTTACATATCTAATTAAAGAGCTGAGAGATAAGTGAACAGGACGCCCGTCTCCGACTGGGATATCCAAAATCTATGGGAATGTCAAGGACATTAGCTCGTACATCAAAGTAGATTCAAGCTTTGAGTGAGGAAATCATGTCTGAGAAACTACAAATGTACTGTTGAGTTGATTTTAAAAGTGTTTGACTGACACTCATTTTGCTGGACTAGCAATTTGAAATTATGAAGTTAATATTTTATACCAAATAAAACCAACAATGTTACAGTCTTAATGTGATGTGTTTCCATTATAGTTTTTCTTAGAAGTGAAAGGGATTTCTGCTCAAAATGTCCTTTGCTTTGATTCTTTACAGTTACTGTTTTTAAAGATTTATTTTTTGGCTTTTGTTTTACTTTATTTATTTAAGTACGCACTAAGATAGACAAGAAAGGTAGGGAAATATGTGAGGACTTATGGAAAGCCCTTTTCCATAAGCTGGCAGAAGTACTACATTTATATGCAGGGAAAGTCAGCTCAAATCAAATGTTACCACATTGAAATCATTTTGATCACAATGACCCTGATTAAAGCCAGGTCAAATTGCAGGACATTTTACTGCAGCGTTTTTGAGAAAAATGAAAGGTTAACTTAGTTGAAATGACATAATACGTAATACATAAAAGTTATAACATTTCCTCAATGTTCAGCAGAGTCTGCTTCAGAATGACACTGATTATGGCCCCCTGGTCAAAACAAAAATCCCCTTAAAATACTAAACATTACAAGATAGACCGCCCTGCACATCATGTGTCAGAGATAATGTGAGGAATGATGCAGTGGAAATGTGATTCTGCAGAAAGGACAGAGAGCTAATCAGATCACAGGGAATATATGAAAAACTTCACAAAACAAATCAAATGTAAAGTAATGAAGTTAATCTCCTTCCGTTGAAAAAGACAACATTTTTCAAGTGTAAACACATTCAAACACTCCAAATGTTCCTTAAGCCCTGCCTCCCAGCTTTAAGTCCCGCCTTTTATCTGTTCCGTTATGTTCGGTCTTGGCTCAGTCAAATTAGAGGGAAAATAACATGCATTTGGGTTATAGCACTTTTTACAACTGTAAGAACCTGATGATTTAAATATAAAAGTTGGTACTGGGTAGTTGATGTAACGAAAAAAAAATGATACACTGATTCACACACGTCTCTTTCCCAATGTACATCAATGGTGAAAAGCCATTTTGGCCAAAAGAGACTGACACGGAAGTTGTAGCACCACCATTTAGTCACTACGGAATGTGTTCAATGGCCAAACATGTATTTAAATGATTAGCTTTCCAGTGATCTACACCCACCAACCAAACTGGTTGGTTGCTCTGAACTTTCATGATTTATTTTTTCAAATGTTCAAAATGTGCAGTCCTAGTACAATCTGTAGAAGAGTGAGGGCCAATGCCAGAGAAGAAGCCTTTATGGGCCCTTTTCATCAAGCTGAGACTTGGAAACCTGTTAGTGTCACATTTCAAATGAATAGGACCTTTCTGACTCACTCTCATTTATTTATGAGCACAGCTAAATTATAGAACATTTGTAATCATCATGTCTTCATTTTGCTTTAGTAAAAGTATTCAGGCAGTCATTTCTCCCCTATAGCTGTTATCACATTAATACTCAATTATTCGTTTGAGCATTTTTTTTTATTCTGTGCTTTAATTATTTTTCAGGATTAAATAAAATAAAAATAAATAAAACAAGAATAGAAAATGTATATAATCATGAGTTAAAGTAAGAACGTTCAATGAAAAGTAATGAAACTTACATAAACATAAATAAAATGTCCAATAAAAGATCAAATAGAATACAAATATTGATATAAACAAGTTAAAGTGGAATTGTGCACATTGTGTATAAGTATTGTGTATTCATAGGATAATAATGCTGAACTGCAGTTTAAAACAAATATTAAATCAAGGTCATAATAAAATGTCCCCTCCCCTCCTCTGTCTCCCAGGCTTCCCTGACTATGGGTTGTATTCTGCGGCCGGCAGTGACATGCGGGGAGGGGGCTCCTACTCCCTGGCTGACTACAGCTCCCTGGGGGCCCAGGCGGCTCAGATCCTGCCCAGTGATCACGCCAGCTCTTCCTGCAACTCCCCCAACTCCATCCAGCACCACCTGCACAGCCCGGACCCCTTCAAGAGCCCAGGTGTGTATCTCTGTGTCTCCTGCACGCAGAGTCACACACAATGCAGCAACACCATGAGACACAGAGGAGGGGGATAACAAAGCAGTGAGGCATGACGCTGTGTGGCAATTTGCCCAGAATGCAGTGCATGCTTTTCTTAGCTGTGCCTTAGGAGAATGGTTCATTTTTATTTCTGTTGTTGTGTCATTTGTTGGAGTATTGTAAAAATACTACATTTGTTGTTTAGTATGAACCCTCTAACTGGTCTGTAACAGTCTGCAGATCTTGTGTTTGGGTTGTGTTGCTGGCGTTAATATTCCAGTATTGGAGGACATAAATAAATAAGGAAGTAAAATAGTGCAATAGAAAAATGCAATGGAAGCTTTTAATGGTCAATGTGCTTTTTGAAACCTAGGTGGCAAGTTGTTATTGGTTATTCGATACTTTAGTCTCCAGATAAAGCAACAAGTAACATTGGAAGGTACTATTTGTAACTATTCATTTCCTAAGCCCTCGAGTTTGTGAGTCCACAACACATGTGATGGAACAATGAGTGAATCGCCTGTGAGAAACTCTTCCACTACACACAGTGTGAGCCAGCTGCAATCATGTGTCATTTATTCAGCAAAAATAAACCAATCGTGTAGTGCTAGAGGTAGAGGAGCTAATGATGCCATCCCAGTTACAACTGATTGGCGCTAAGAGCTAGATACAAAACTAAAAACATAACGAAAAACGACAGACATTTTTTTCACAAACAACCCTTGTTCCTGCCACAGCACTCTCTAGAGTTACTGTGGTGTTTCCTGATTTGAGCATCAACATTATCTGGAGTGTATATTAAAAACTCTGCCCAGCAAAGACTCTAAGAAATTAGCAAAAGAGAAGTGGGTCATAAGGCCAAACGAGGTCAAGGGGGTCAAATTACCCCTGAGAATAATAGCTTAGGAAAATGTCCGTCTTCCTAACTCATAGTTTTCTGAGAATGGGGTTGTGCATTTTCATAGACTCATAGACTCACTTCAAAGTATAAGAAGCAGTGGCACAAGTTCATCTCACACACACACACACACACACACACACACACACACACACACAAACACATTGCGTTAGTATATTTCTCCTAACAAAGGTAAGGCAGGGTTCCCGCGGGGTCTTAAAAAGTCTTAAAAAGTCTTAAATTTGATAATCTGAATTTAAGGCCTTAAAAAGGTCTTAAATATGACCAAAAAAATAAGAAAGGTCTTAAATATGATTTAGAAGGTCTTAAAAATGATGGGATTTGAAAGGTACTTCTGTGTTGCGATCGCGTCTAAAATGTGTTTTGGGGGAAATGTCCGGGCTGCAAAGTAACGGTAATAGCCTTTCAGTTCCCCCCAACAATTTGTATTGAAATAAATCAACATGGAACCAGTAATCACTAACTCTGTTTCCCCCGGCCCCTTAACGGAGAACACCCAGCTAGTAACCTAGCAACCAAGCTTCAGCAAGCGGCAGTCAGAAACTCATGTCTCTTCGAATCTACTTACAAATAAATATGGGGAAGTGTAAGTTCAACCGTATTTGGTTGGAAAACATCGAATTTAGTGCTTGGTTGAAACCAGTGGAGGGGAACGTGTTTGAAGCCTGCTGCACCTTTTGCAAAATAAATTAGCGTTTGTTTGGCTAATGTAGCGTTAGCTAGTGCAGCGTTAGCTAGTGCAGCAGCTCCCGCAACAACACCGTTGGACCTCCGGGCGACGTTTGGGTCTTCGACGTCAACCCTAAAAGCGGAGGTGCTGTAGTGTATACGCTAAATACCGTAGTTAAACACCAATCATACAACAGCAACGATGAAAGATTGTAGCCAAGGCAGCAGAGCTCTGAATATAGCTCTTGTTACTCTCTCTCTCTCTCACACACACACACACACACACACACACACACACACACACACACACACACACACACACTAGGGCTGCTCGATTATGGCAAAAATCATAATCACGATTATTTAGGTCAATAATTGATATCACGATTATTCATTGACTTTGAAAACATCCATTTATTGAACTTTAAAACAAATAATAATTTGAACAGTATCTTTTTAACTGTTGATTACCCTGAACGTATAATTCAACTGAAAAACCAATACAAAAATAAATTAAATAAATGATATATTTAAATAAATAATATCAAAATAATAAATACCAATAAACAAGATCAACAAATATTTTGGAGCGCACTTCCACAAGCTACTAAACATATATAAATATGATAAATAAAAATAAATTAGACTAAAATTAATTAGATCAAATATGTCGTAGTGCACTGTCACAACCTAGCAAAGCTAAATAATAGGTTTTTTCGATTATGTTTTTGTAATTGTGGCAGGCCAAAATCGTAATTGCGATTAAAATACGATTAATTGCACAGCCCTAACACACACACAAGCACACACAGAGACACATACACACTTTTTGGCTAACACAGTTCTGTACTGTTATGCTGTTATGTTCAGTCATTGTTCTTATGTTGAACATGAATACATTTGATTTGTAAGTAATTATGGGACGTATTTCTTCTTTCATAGCAATTTTCCTTCATACTTTCTTGCCGTGAAATAGGTCTTAAATTCTATTCGAAGTGGTCTTAAAAAGGTCTTAAAAAGTCTTAAATTTGAGTTGGCGAAACCTGCAGGAACCCTGGTAAGGGAAACAATAGAGTGTTGGAGAAATGAGTTAGCATTTTACCACTTCCGGGCTTCCTCAGTGGATAACACGTGGCTTAAACATCATCTCCCAGAACAAGAGTCCACCTTGAGCTTAGCGGTGTTGATCCATGTGACCACAACGTAGTTTGTTTATAGCCTAAGGTTAGCTATTCACTTCTGAAGATTGCATTGACGCCTAAACTTTTTTATTTTTTATTTAATCATTTATTTGACGAGGGACAGTGCACATTGATGAACATTTAAAACAAATAATGCTTTAAAAACGTAAACATGCCGGATTTGAGCTTTGAGCTAGTTTCCATCCGTAGTCCCTCACATACAACATTTAAGAATGACATTTAACTGTTATAATAGTGGTACTAATATGTAGTTTATCCTGCTGAGCAAAATGTGTAAGTATCATAGATGTGTATTTGGAAGGAGCCTTTGCCCTCAACATTTAACTGAAATCCTAGTGTACAGTATATGGTCATATAAACATTACTCCTCTAAAAAATGACCAGTCCGAAATATGAATGTGATCTGTATGTCGTTTCTTCTTCAATCATACACTCCTGAAGTGAGTCCATTTAAATGTGTCTCACCCCTGCAGTCTTTTAGCATACATTACCCAGGACACCCTGTGTAATGTTCTGCCTGTCAGGCAGGCTAGGTCCAATGGAGAAGATAATCACAATCATATAAGGGTTTGGTGAGGAGGGGGTGTAGGTGTGCTGAAGTGAGGAGGCTCTCCTGTGACAGGTGTTGATAAGACGAGGGGTGCTGTGCCCGATCCCCCTGTGCATGTTCTGCCTGGCATTCATATCTGAGGGTTCTGAGCAGTGCAAAGCAGAGAAGGCTAAAGAGAGGCTAACAAAGAAATATATACTGTATATACCTGCAAGTCCATTCGCTTCAAATCAGTGAAAGTACTACCATTATTCAAAGGTTTATTGGTCAAGGTGCAGTGAATGTGTAGACTTTCAGATTTCCTGATATTTAAGGAGAGCTTGTTCCACCATTTTGGAGCCGTTTTTGTTGAGTGTTACGTGGGTCCAACTTCACACTGTAGCCTGAAAATGCTTTAAAATACATTTCCTCTCTCAATGTGTGCCTGATCATAGTCAACCTTTATCTCTGAGTGCCAGCTGTGTAATAGTTCCTCTGGCTAATCCATCTCCTGGTCCTCCTCAACAGGAAGCAACCAAACCAGGCCTGGAGCCTTCCATGGGGCCAACAGTCCTGGCCCCGTAGCTGACCTCTATGGAGGCACCAGTCAGGACTCTGGTGTGGGAAACTACATCAGCGCCACCAGCCCTCAGCCGGGCTCCGGCTTCAGCCACAGCATTGCTGTAAGTATACCTATTCATGTGACATCATGACATCATCATCTTCATCTTCCAGCCCATCAATTCTCACTAAGGCTGTGCGTCTTTTTTAGGCAGAAAGCGTTTCTATAATGTTTTTGTGACAATGATATCTTGACAACATATGACCAATTTATGTATATGACTAGATTCGCCCCCTTATCTGTATCTATCTGGTTGGGCTACTATATATGTATTTATATATACTGTATCTATCTTTGACATTGTTTTTTTAACCATGAACACCAATCTACAGCCGTCGAGTACGATCTGCGTATGGCGATAAAAGTGTAAGAAATATTTTCACCTATAAGCGCTCACAGTGGCCGCACAAAAAAGGTAGTGCGCTCAGAAAACATGCACAACGCCTTTTCTCTCCCCATTGGAAACAACAAGAAACGCTGGCGGTCAGAAAAAGGCGCTATGTGAACAGAGGCCCTAACTCAATGTGGTTAACTCATTCTTCATTCATTAGCAGCACGAGACGACTACTTTGTTGAATTGGTGTAAAAACAGGCATCATTGTTTTGTCAGCGCCGGCACTGCTAACTGCCAACCCTTTCTTTCTACATTCAGTTTGCCTTTCCTAAAGGCCATCAATAAAATAATGTCTAGTTGACTTTCATTACCAATTGAATGAGAGTGAGAATGGCCTGTTTTGATCTACTGTTCAAGTCAACAGTACACTAACCAAAAATGCTAACAAGGCCTTTCGTGTTTCACCAGCTGCTTTTTGGTGCACACACACACACACACACACACACACACACACACACACACACACACACACACACACACACACACACACACACACACACACACACACACACACACACACAGACATTGTGAACAACATCTGGTATAGAAGAGAAAACATGTAATCTGAACATCTCATTATTTCATGCATTAGATATGACCTGAAGTGTGCTGCGTTCACCTAACAAACTAAATCCACATTCATCTATGCGTTGTAGATTAATACAAAAATAGAGCATACAGAACATACAGTTATCATGATATATAAGAGTTATGAAAACAGTTGTTTGGTTCCCCTTTTAGTAAATGCAACCGTCTTCTGTACATCGGTCCATAATTACTGTTTTGAATTGAATATGCCTCAATGTATATTTTTCCTCCAAGTAAATAAACAGACATATTCATCTCTAATCTCTGTAGTGTTTACAGATATCGTGGTCTGTGATTCTGAAAGATCTGTATGACAATCAGGTTCATTTTATAGACGATGACCTCAAATATAACTTCCTGCTGTCAAGGCTTGACTTGATGGTGTGGTTACATGAGGTTTTATTCCATTTCTGTAACAGTAATCCGATATGCACCATGTACTTTAAACCAGTATGTTGTAACCAACGGCCCTACACATATTAAATAATTCACAGAAAATATAAACTCATTTTGGATACATGTGTTTACGTTTCTAAAAACAATACACAGTTCGGCTGGCATGTAATGTTATGACATAGTTCATAGTAGAATATATATGGTATAGCTTGTGGGTCACAGTTATTACGGCGCAGTTCAAACCTTAATAGATAACAACCTGTTTGCAATTTCAGAGATCCCAAATGTTGCCATTTGACTCAAGCTGTGTGTTTCCATTCATGCTGTCATCCCATCCTTTGAATAAACTACACTCACAAGTACTTTTTTTCAAAGAAGTGTGTACTGACAGTTACTAATTGTACATTATAGGGTCCATTGATTGCGACAGCTTTTACAAATGGATACCATTGAAAGCTAACAGGTGACTGGTATTTTATACTATTCTCACAACCTTATCTGCCCATACAAACATGTATTGTTCTTGCATCCCTTTTAAACATCTTATTTCCCTTTCATTTTTGCTCCTATCATATGTATTGTTGACCTGATCATTCCTCAATGGGTTGTCACAACTATTCACAGGGTTTGTGCCAGCAACAGCTATGTAATATGTTCCCATGGCGAACCCTTTAAAGACTCACATATGCATGCATGCATACAACAAGTTTTACATGAAATCCTTTGTTGTCAAACTTTGCTTTACCCACTGTTTCTTTTCTGACATTTGCCCAGTTAGTTTGGAATTCTAGGATGAAGGGCGGGGGAAAGTTTCTTTTTTCATATGGTTCCCTTTCTCTTTTTTCAAATGTTAAGTCCCGTGTGTTTTCAAATATAACTTCATTAGCTTCTACTTAAGGCTGACATGTTAAATAAGGCATTTCATCTGCCTGCCAGTGATTGTGTGCTTCACAAAACTCAAGTTTATGATGAGCACAGAGCTGCATTTGTTTTGACATTTTAACTTATTTTGATGAAGAGATGCAATTGTGAAACATTACATTAGAGCACACTTGATTTGACACAGGCGTATTTAAGTAGCTAAAAGCCTTTTTGTCATAAATGGAAAAACGCTCATGCATGCAAATGATTTGTTCTCCAACCATGACCAGATGCTATTCCCCTACTCTCAATAAACCTTAGCTGGTTAATGTGTTTCTGTATTGGAAGCGGCCTCTCGTGGTGACACCCTGCACCAAATTGAAACAGTTGAATCTAGACACGCCCTGGGGCTTCGGAGGCATTTGGCTGCCAGCTGGCTGTCAGCCTGTCTTCTACCTGCCAGCAAGGAGTATCTCTGAAAGGGTGTGACATAACATGTCTATCCCACCAGTTCCACCTTTCTCTTTTTAAGGTGTTATAACAAACCAAACATCACTGAAAGAATAAAATAACACCCCCTATTATCATACCACTCTACCATTAGGGTTGTTGGTTCAATATCAGCCCTTGCAGTCAACAGATTGAAGTGTCCTTGGGCAAGATACTTAACCCCAAATTCCTCCCGATGTTGGCCAACTAGGCCTGACTTGCAGTCAGAGTTGTAGTCCATCACAAATGTGTTGGTTAGGAATGATGTCAGTGTAATTTAGATGGGACATTGTCATGCTTAAACAGGAAACAGCCGAACACAAGTATCACATCAGCCATTGTTAGGTCTTACTTAAATAATGGTCTGAATAAAGTGTCAATCACATAATTGCATGTCTTTTTCAAATCTTGTTAAAATAATCAAGAGCAATACTTGTATGAGTTCCACCTTTTTTATGTTCCTACCAAAGCATTTCACACTGGTAGTCTTCACTGTCTTCTACAATGGTAGAAAACCATTTGAACTGCTGTATGAGAATCCCCAGTGTCGTATGGAAATTTAGGGTGCCATGAGAGAAGGCAACAGAGAGTGTGTCTGTAGTGTGTGTTGCTTTCGTTTGCAACTCCTAAGATGCTAGGGTACTGTCATTGTCCTTTTTCACCTTGAAGCATGAAAGGATGTGTTTTCTAATTACCGATAGACGCATGGACGATGCTTTGGATTACCATTGAAAGGGACTGATGCCAAGGGAAGTCAGGCCGGGTCTCTAAACTGCTTCTGTGTACAGGTGATGCCACCCAGCACTAACCACTACAGCCTCCACGCAGTGAGCCTGAGCGGGGGTGGGACCAGATGAAGAACCGTTTGAAAACAAAAGTCCAGAAGTGGTGAACAGCCTGCGATGGAGATCCCTCTGACTGTGTCCGGTATACTTGTGTTGAGATTTGCTGGTTTGGATTTGAATTATTTTTCTTTCATTTTGATTTGTAAAAGTATTGTATTGGACATTTAATCAATAATGATAAATTATTTTTAAAATATTTAATTATGATTATTTTAAGTGTACGTTTGTTTGTTTATTTGTTTTGATTAGCAAGTTAAACTAAAGCAATGTACTACACCCTTTGTGTGTGTCACTGTGGTTACTTCTTATCTCTGAGTGATGAAAGATTGTCAGTTTACACGTACAAAACGTCTGATGTGAACAGTGTTGGTTCACGTATCAATTAACACAAGACAAACCAATTACACCTAGTAGCTTTGGTTCTAGCAATGTGGTCTCGACATACCCATTTTAGGCAATAAGAGGACGACAATATTTTCACAGTCCTGTTTTATAAATGTTTTTTTGTCTTGAGAAAATTAATATATACAAAGTTGTGTTTTTATTTCTGTGTCAAATTTTGAAAGAAGTGTATAACTGTACATGGTGTTTAAGTAATTATAGTGGTTTAGTGAGGGACAGGAAGGGATTACCTGAAGATAGTCCCATCATGCACTGCTGGTTCGCTCCTTACATGCTCTTTGCTACCTGTGGCTAATTTGATACCAGCATATTTGTCTACATTATGAGCTATAGAGAGCTGAAGGAATGAGTCCTTTAACCCATGAATGAGTTAGTATTCTACCAGTTCCGGTTCCCTTGTCTCAAAGTCAACGGTTTTTTGAACATGTGTTTTGTTTAATTCCTGAAATAAGGTCTGCGGTTAACACAAATTTTAGAGATTATCCTGTTTTGTTCTACGACATAAAATATGTCGTTAAATACTCCATCCATGTCCGAATCTTTTTTGTGTCATTAATACAGCGGCTGCTAACAAGTAGCTAAATAAGCCTACCAAACTTCATCACGCCAAACAATGGTCCGCCTTAACTTAGCGTCGGTGACGTGAAGTCATGTGACCGTGATGTATGGTTTATAGCCTCGTTTATAGTAACGGTAGCATTTTACTATTGTAAATTGCATTAACGCTTCGACTACTACGAAAAGTGAAGTAAATATATGATGATTATCCACCTGAACAAAACATGTTAGTATCATAAATCATTGTTAGCCACAGATCTTATTTTTTGCAATGTTCCAAAATCCAAAGGAAAAATCCCATTGGCTTGTTTTGTTGTGGCGGCCTTTATGATGCTAACTTCCGGGTCAGCCTACAAAACAACAACATCACTGCACAACTCTATAGTGCGCACAATTATGTCTGTGACACACAACTGACGGACTCTCCTTTAATTCTCTCTGAAGCTCTGTAGCATGAAAACAAATCAATCCAAAGCACACTTGATCGTTTTTGGATTACAAAGATGATTTTTATGTCATATGCTGTAATTGTCTTCACATGTACGGTGTCACACAAAAGACAATATTTCAAGTTTTGCTACTTGTGTTTGTTACGAGGAGGAAGAAGTGCAGCAGATGAGTGTTGCTTATTACCTCAGTCCTATGAGATTTTCTAACGATGACAAGAGAACCTATTTAAAAATATGACTGGTCATTAGAGGTAAGGCTGAGAGCAGATTTCATTTGCACATTTAGTGGACTTTTATTTATAACTCAATTTTGGTCAGCCTAACTTGAAAATGTATGGAGTTTTATTTACTGTTTTTAAATGTTACAGTTGCTTGCTTAACACTGGTCGATCCAACATCAATTAAAACACACAGATGTTCATACACGCATTACAAAAAATGTAAAGAAAAATAGGAATGTTGTCTGTAATTTCATGTAAATAAGGATTTGCTATAACTAAAGAATCAATCTTTTTTTAAGTTTTAAATTGATATGAATTGATAAATGTACGCGGTTTTCTTCCCTCTGTGCTAATACAAATATTTTACAAATTACTTTTACAAACTGGGGAGCTGAATGCTGGACTGTTTCTATAATGCAGTAATAATCAGAAAACAAAAAAACAAATGTGTAAGTTGTTAATTAAAAAAAGAAACATGTATGTTCCCTTGTATGATTCACATTTCTATGAAGGATTTGCATCAATATTTTTGTGGCTGTTAATGATTCTATAAATAATATCTATATAAATCACAATATATCATGTACTGTATATTCATCCCGTTTTCTCTTCATCATCCTCTACAATAATCTTCAGTTGAGCATTAATGTATTGCAGTAACATATACTAAAGAAAATCTAATGACTTATAGGAGTGCTGTCTTTGATACCAGTGTAGTGTCCTATACACAGATGTGTTACCTTTAAAACTCTCACTTGTTTTGTCTCTCTCACTCTTTCTCCCAGTAACTAGTGGTAGATGTTCTGTAGTTGCAATATTGTTAGCTAGTACTCATCACGTAGGACCTGTAAGGATAGTTCTTTGACATTTTCCTGACTGAAGCGGACATTTGTTTCACTTGAATTTATATTTTTATGTTGAATTTGTGCTGCTCTCACATGGTTTCAGCAAACCAAACCTACGGAGGTCGACCCGTGCAAACGCGCTACAACCGGCCAAAACACTTACCTTAGGAGAAACGTGCTGCGCTTTACAAATCAATGTCAATAAAAAGATGTTGGCCAAAAAACTTGAAAATTAAGAAACATTTTCACTAACTTGTCAACGCAGCTTTTAGATAACATTCACCAAAACTCTGCAAATAACAAATTCCGCGGCTAAAAAGTGACGCACAGAGCTGGGACCGGAGCGCTTGTTGATGTTTGGGGTTATAAAGTTGGCCAACTGTCACCGTCTGGAAACGTACCTAAAGAGTTTTATTAGCTTATTTCAACAATGTAATCGCGTCATTCGTTCTGATATTATTGCAGATCTGCTGTAAGGTAGGTCACTAACGTATTTCACCTAGTCGTTTCCAATATACTGACAAAACACTTACAGTTATGAAACACTGTGGGAGTTAGCCAACTTTAGAATCTCCTTACGCCAACAAGTGCTCCGGTCCCAGCTGTGTGCATCACTTTTTAGTGTCCCTGTTTACGTCGTGTTTGAACTTATCTTTTTTGTATTCGCAGTGCTATTAGTAAATGCTGCACATGTGTTGTCAAGTTGGCAAAGATGTTTCTTCATTTGCGTATGTTTTGGCATGTTTTTTTATTTTTATTGTATTTGAAAATGCAGCACGTTTCTCCTGGAAGTGTTTCGGGCCGTTGTAGCGTGTTTGCTCCTGTCGGCCACCGTACAAGGCTCTGTAAGTGTTTCAAGAAAGATTTGCTGTGAGTTGTTCTTCTAAACACGGCATTAATAGGACCCCCACCTTTGAATGTCATAGTAAGGGGGTTTGCCATACTACCTTAAATGCTAATGCTGGATATGCAAAACACTTCGATTTTTAGAAATTTGAAGTTAAAGAGCAGGAGGAATGATGAAACAAAAAGCATATTTTTATATAGTTACAACAGCAATAATAACGATTATTATAAATATAACTAATCTGAATGCTGTGTTCTAATATTCTTTTTTTGTTTATGTCCCAGTGGCACTACTTTTTGAATACTGTTTTTTTTTACTTTCAGTACTTTTGAGTTTGAACTCAATTTGAAATATTTAGTTTTGCTCTTGGATCAATCAAACAGCTCATACTTTAATACATGTTAGATTTCCAATCACTAAAGCTTGTTATCCATATACTGTATAACTGGTGAACTGAACTCAAATGGCATATATTAGATCAAAATCTACCTAAGACCTTCCATAATATATCTGTTATATATATTTTATGGCTTTGCACTCTTACCAAAAAGCATTGATTGCATAGAGCAGTGCTATAGACAGGCAGGAAGTCAATGAACACAATGCAGCGTTTACATTATCCTCATTGGTCACTACTTTGCATTTGCATTAGGGGCGTCAAGTCAAGTCAAGTGAATTATATTTATACATCCAAAAAAATCAAATAGTGACAGTTGTAATCCTAGGTTTGTTTTTTGTTTTTTTCATTATTATTATTTCCAATGAGGAGTGGGTCCATGTGGGTCCGGCAGTCAAACAAATATATAGTGTTTAGAATAGATGGGCAAGGGGGCAAAGCTAGTCTAAAAGGGCAGTTATAAATTATCATTGTCAGAAAACATTAATATAAGTGCTGAGAGTGTTTTAATGAAAATCTGGGGGGTTATTCTATGACTTGAAATACATCAGTAAATACCCCAGTGGTGACTGTCTGAAGCTTGCAGGTGTCCTAAAAGTGGCTGCTGCTAACAAGTGGCTTAATGAAGATACTAAACGTCATCACGCCAAACATTAGCCGCCTTTAGCTTAGCGGTGTGAGGTCATGCGTCCATGATGTAGTTCATTTATAGCCTAAGATTAGCTTTTTACTTATAGCATTTGCTATTAGGCTTCAACTATTATATACGGTGTTAATATGTTAATATGTGGAGATGATCCTGCTGAACAAAATGTGTAAGTAACACAATTGTTTGGCACAGATCTATTCATATAATCGTTTTTGGTCAAGAGAGCCCTTGCAATGCTAACTTCTGAGACCGCCTACAAAAATATGTTATTATTACATCACTCTACGGTGCAACGGTTCAAACTATTTTGACAAATCTTCATTGTGTGTTACAACTGTCACACTGATCTGCACTTGTCTAAGCCACTTTGATATGAAGTGTTATTAAAGTAGGAGTTGTTTGCCCATTTCAAGCAGCTGATCCCGGTCCACATGTCTTGATTTTAATTCATATCCTGCACTTTAAGGTAGCATGGCTCTGTTGTTGCTGTACGTAAATATTGACAGAAGTTTACAGCGAATGAATGTTATACATCTTGTTAGACGAGTTCATCTGTTGACAGAAAAAAAAGAGAACATTCTACCTGGAAGTTTTGGGAATTTTTATTGTGAGTGTACTACTTTATCCACTTAAACTTGAATCTTGAGGCAAGTGCTAGGTAATGGCCAACTGCTCTTTTGTCCCTGAAACGGAGCCTGCTAGTAGCTGGACGCTCATGTACACACAGATCCAAGGCTTTCAGCATGTGGATCAACAGCTTTATATATAGCCAACACTTGCAGCTCAATTTTTCCAATAATGCAAAATAATTGATACTGAAAATAAGGTACAATAATAATTGTGTTTAGTGTGCCAACAGTGGCACAACTCTGATGTAAAGGTTTCATGTTCTCAGTCATTAGTCTCATCCTGTAGCAGTAGATGGTTGTCCTTCATCCGGAGGTCTTCTGATTGCCTTGCCCATACTTACCACTTGCCCTTTTTTTTTTAGTGTTAACAGACTTTTTACCATGAGAGCTGACTGAATGGACTGACGGTCTGAAAACATCTTTCAGGTCTTCTTGTATGGCTTGCTCAAGCCCTGCTGTAAAAACAAAAAAATATGAAATAAGGGGATGGGGGGATGGGGGTCTCTCACATCCCAGATGTGGAAAGTATAATTTTGTATTTGTATTTTCAAATAATGATAATAAAACATGTTTGTGAAAGCTTTCCATCCTCTACTCTGGTCCAGAAATCAATGTGTTTGTCTAGAAAATGAAAATAAAGCTGTTTTCAATCAGTCACCTATTGTTTTTACTGCTGAAATTATGTTATGATAAACTATTCATAATATTCATTCATTAAAAAAACAATACATCACAATCAGTATGATTAGAACAAGCGAACAAAATTAAACAAACTTGTCACAAGTCATTTAAAACTAATCGTGTGCAGTCTTGAAGTGGGGTTGTCCTTACATCATGTATGCCCCCCTCTTGTCAAATTCAAAACGTTTCGATTGCAAAATAAATCCAATCCAAAGGATCCTTGATCATCATTCTGCAAGAAATAACTGAAACTCAGCCTACGGCCTCAAGTGTTTGCTACCTGGCAAGGTTTCCTGACAGAAACACACTGCAACAGAAATGTTATCAATTATTGAGAAGGGGATTTTTCACTGAGCTGTTAGTTATAGCAAAAAGAACATCGACAGGTCTTCATGAAATGATTGTATAACGTCCACTCAGAAAAAGTAGTCCGTTCTACTCATGGAGGTATAAAGAGAACAAGATGCAGCGTTTGATGCGGGGCCCTGTTAATTCCTAGTTGCTTAGTAGCCAAAATGGCCTGACTCTCAACATCGAAAATATCCGGATCTTCCGGTAATCTCCGCATTCATTGAGCACATAGAGCATTTGCACTTTTGTATTACTTAAGCCCCGCCTCCAACCAGCTCCATCATGGCAGCAACACATGCGTTCTTGGCTCAGTCAAATTAATGTTGTGGGAAAGTAACTCCTTTCTAACTTTTCGCAGTTTTCATCTTTTAGGACCAAATTACTTTTAATTTAAGTGTTTGAAGTGGGTAGTTGATATACCGACACTTCCTGGTTCTGCTGCCTAGCAACGGCTAGAACAGAGGAACGACACTGTACAAGGTTTTCTACCTCATGACTGTCCAAGACTGTTCACAGTTTATTTTTCATTAAACCAGCCTTTGGTTAGAGCCCATACTGTATTCCCTTACTTTTTCGCAACAGCGGTAATTAAAGTTTAAAAGTCTCAAAAATGCTACAACTACTGTCACAAACTGGATGAATGTGAAGTATTTTGTTAACCTGTTAAGCCCTGAGCCTGTTTTTCAGGTCTCAGGCTCGAAAATGACATTCCCAGAACAAATGACCATAAATTAATAATCTTTTTTCTCAAAGTAATGATAAACCTGTGAGTTGGATGTAGAAAAGTCAGAATCAATATAGATGTTTTTTATTTTAAAGAAAATTCAGATTTTACATAGTAAAAAACTGTAAATTATAGTGTCCGTCCAAAAATTCTTTTTTACTTATAGTGAAGACTACCCTTGGATGATGGGTTAGTAGACTAAAAGCTTTAGGAATCCAAAGTACAACATATAATAAGTACCCAGTATCAATATTGATGCAAAACAAGTGACATTTGACCTTTTTAGAGAGGTTTAGCCAAAACCACTCCACCTCTGAGGTGATTTGGGTGAAAATGTTTTTTTTTCCATATCTCTGG